TTAGGAAATATGAAGCCAACATCAAGAAAGGGTGTTTTAAAAATGCTCCCAATAGATTCGTAAAATTTACATATAATGAAAGTATGAATACAGTCATGAAAGAGATTGCACACAGAAAAGGTTCGAGGATGCTTATAAAAAGGGCCCCTAATTTATACAAAATCCTCAGGAATGATAAAGATGATATAAGGTCAGAAGAGAAAGCAGGGGTTTATAAAATTCCGTATGAGAACATGCAATTGGGCGTTAAAAAAGACTACATTGGAGTAACCACTAGAAGTTTAGGGCTTAGAATCAAGGAGCATAGTTATAATATCAGAAAGGGGTCTAATGCAACAATTTTATCCCAAATGGCGCAAGCAACAGGATCAGTAGTCAAATGGAATGAGGCAGCCATCATAAAACCTTTATCTTCTCCATCTTTGGCGTTGACAGCGGAAAAGTTGCAGATTTATAGGAGTAAAATAAAAGAAGACTGTTTAAATGCAAGAGATGCAGAAAGTCTTCCCTCTGCATGGAAGTTTATAGTTAAGAAGTTTAATAAGAGCTCTAACCAGTCATAATAGTAGTTTTATTGGATGTGTTAGTAATTGCATTTATTAATACTTCTATGTACATTTTTTACATTTTTATATTTTTTGTTTTAATGTTACTCTGTTGGTTATTTAATATTTTAATTTTATTTTTATTTTATTCCGTTGCTTATTTAATTTTTTAATTTTGAATTTTGTATTCCATTGATGGAATCCTTTAATTCAAATTTGTTCTAAACCTGAGGATGGCCTGTGAATCAGGCTGAAAACGTTTGTGTTTAAAATATATAATTCTCAGCAAAATTAAGGTGTTCTAATATATACAGGCTGAAAACGTTTGTGTTTAAAATATATAATTCTCAGCAAAATTAAGGTGTTCTAATATATACAGGCTGAAAACGTTTGTTTCGAATAAATTATATTTCTCTCAGCAAGAATAAGGTGTTAGTTATATGCATTTTTAGATGTTAATAATTTTAAATATTACGAAAAACAGTTTTCCCAAGCGTGTTTTAATTCTTTAAATTAAGTAAATTTTAGGGAGAATGTTTTGATTTATGTAAATTACGTAGCGAATTGCAATATTTATATTCGTGTTCAGAGTATATCGGCGAGTCACTCTTAGACACGAAAAATATTAAAATTAATGACGATCTAAACACAAATGTAGTAAAAGAATTATATGATTTAACATCATTCATTTTTACGGCACCCTCTTGTTGAGCGCAGTGAAGCACGAAGCGAATTCACACATTGGCAGAACACTCGGTCGGAGGAAAAGATTGTCGTCACTAGCGTCGTTTTCGATAGAAAAAGAGCTTTTAGATACTTTGATGGAACTGACGACCGTTTGCTGCACTGTAGTGACCAATATCCGTCATTTTCTAGTAGAACATCGGTCAAATACAGTCTGTATAGACCTATTATAAATTGCCTCGATCAGTTATAGTCATTTAAACGCGGTTTCTAATTAAACAGGAGAACGCGACTTAACGTTTCGTCATCACTTTGCCACGGCAGACGTCACTGTCCGTGTTCTACGCGCTTTGACCCGAGTGGAAGAACGAATCTCGAAGGGTGTCGAAGTAACCGTCCGTAAATTGGGATGGGAAGTCGAGTCCGGTCGATTAAGTCGTAGCCGGTGAAAGGTCACTTCCGAGTGGCCGCGTCGCGTTCGGTGGAAAGTCGAAATCCGTGCGAGAAGGCCTGGGCAGAAAATAAATTATGTTTTCCAGCAGCAAAACCACTTTTCCACCGAGGCCTTTTACGCTCGACGGATTCTTCCGACTCCTTTCTGTCCAGTTCGGTCTCACCCGACCGTGTCTCCACCGTCCATTCCGGAACTTCGGGGTATCGTCGCTCCAGATACTGGACGAGAGACGAGGCGCCGTCGTTCGGAGTTACGACGACTACCCGTTTGACGTCGGGTGTACGCGATTCCTCCGCATCTTTCGGGAGCACCCGTATTACACCGATGTTCTACCGATGTTCATTTTTTTCCAGGGATACAACCCTGGTAAAAAAAAAAACAAAAGGTAGAAAACACCACATCGTTGTGGATACTGTAGGTCTTATAATCACTATTACACCGGGTCAAGACCGGGCGCCATCCCGGGGCTGGACATGGCCCGAGGTGTGCCACTTCTTCAATTCTTCGAAATTGTCCATTCCGCAAAGAAAAATGAGCCAATGTTGTGAAAACGGAACTTGCATTAATTAAAAAATATTCCTATTCAAATCTGAATTGTAAATTTCTAATGAAAAAATGATTGTTTTAATTCCTTAGAAAAGAATCGACAAAGAACTATTTACAGGTACTGAAGTGAATAAAGCATCTCAACATTTTCCCGAAATGCCAATATTTGAACATTTTAGATCAAATAATAGAATTTATTATAAAAACTTTTAATCTGAGGGTTTTAATAATAGTCGAGAAAATTATATTAAAACTAATGACGATCTAAATACAGTTTAAATTACTGGTAATTTAAATTTAGCGATGAACTTAGTAATAATAATAAATCTAGTTTACTAAATTTGTTTACGATTAATTAATGCTAAATATTTAATAAATTTCACCCCATACTGACGTAAGTTAGTATTCAGTATGGGCGATAGTAACTTAAGAAATCCTTCTGTGAGGAAGACCACACAATGGCCAAAACACGAAATACGAACAGTCATCTTACTACTCAGAGGCCAATCTCGACGATTGGCCCCTGAGTAGTAGGATGACTCTCTACGAGTTTATTATTGAAATGGGGAAACTGACAATCTTGAAATCTCCGTTGTCAGGCTCCCGACACCGGATAGGGATGATATCGCGCGTAAACGAAATCTATAGGAGGACTACTACTTTATGAGTGGAGCGTGTCGTGGTACGTGCTTCGTTCGAGACTAATCGACAAAGCCATTATAAAACAATAACAAAATTTAATAAGACAAATGAAATAGAATACAAGATACTGAGAGACCATTAAATTTTAGACTAATCTATTCTATTCGCGAGAGAGAGAGTTTAAAATATTAGATTATACTACCTCAACTTATGTCCTATTCGTAGTCTTCTTCTCTCCGAAGTAGGGATACGGCAGATGGAGAACGAATGCGGGATCTTCTTCTAATTATGAGCGCACAAAGTTAAAGGATTTATGGCGGGAGACCTTTTTATGGCAGCTGATTGCCGAAGTTCGTGCGGCATCTCAGGGACTTCGAGAACAGCTTCTTATGGCATGTTCGGAATCTGTTGAATTGCCTTCTAGGGCATCTCCGAAATATCGAGGACTGCCTTCTATGTGGCAATATCAATTGTGTATAAATTAGGGGCAACCAAGGGGGCGCCATAATAGGATCTCGCTCCATCCTAAAACTTGCCTCGGGCCGGCACTGCGTATGCGGCGTGAGGCATCCGAAAGCANCCTTTTTATGGCAGCTGATTGCCGAAGTTCGTGCGGCATCTCAGGGACTTCGAGAACAGCTTCTTATGGCATGTTCGGAATCTGTTGAATTGCCTTCTAGGGCATCTCCGAAATATCGAGGACTGCCTTCTATGTGGCAATATCAATTGTTGATGAACTGCCTCGAATGGCGGAAAAACTACCCTTTTGTCGGGCTCTCTGACCAATGGCATAAAATGATTCGCGGTTACAACGGGATGCACGACGACACGTAGAGAGGGTAAAACTACAGATGGCGGCCAGAATTACCGATAAAGTCCCGTGGGAAAGGAAGTTGATTTCCTTCTTTTGTAAAAATTGTCGAATGTGTGTTCCTCTTTGGTGAACAAACTCGTAAAACTAAATACATTTCCTACACTAATTAATTAAATAAATGCCGATTCTCACACAATAAATAAGACAAATTCAGTTGAAAGAAGAAAATTTCTTTGATTTAAATTAAAACTTAATCGACGACGTGACTTTACTTTGGTATAACTAATTAATATAGTTATGAGCAACTGATAAGATATTCAGATTGAACTCGAATCGTTAAATTCTGACTTTGTTACAACAGATGCCAATTAATTACACTTCATTTTATATTAGAAAAACAGGTAGATGAGAAGTAACTATTCATTGAGAAATCGCCATAATTCATATTTCTAAAGAAAATATGATAAAATCTATTTGATATGGAAATACACATGCTTAAATTAAAATTAGATGTCGCCATATATAACAACGCGTTTTCCTTAAATTGTGATGTGCGTGGACAGCCACTTCTCTGTGCGTCTGCAACTGAACCACTGATTATTAGCGTAGAATGACAATACTTAATTGTTTGTGGACAAATTGTGGCACGACTTCCATTCATCTTACGCCACCATCTCTGCGCAACAATCACTGATTTTCACACTTCACAGCGTACAGCAAACTGCACTCGCTCCCCCGAAACAAGTAGTCAGTAATCTTTTTAACTACGAGTACATAAATTTATTATGATATTATTATTATTACAAAAAGTAAAGCGACTTCTTAATGCCTAATTACTTTCCACCCATCCTATATTACAGCAGGAACTTTCAGTAAAGCTTTTAGTATTTAAAGTATCGTTCATTGTACAGTTTTTTAATTATTTTTGATGCCAATCTACAACCAGTAGATTGGAACCAAAAGTATATATGACTACGGTATTAATAAAACGCGGTATTATGAAAAGGCTATTTTAAAATATTAGTTTTTAAAATTTTGCACAACTAATTAAAGGCAATTTGTATTCAGTTTTAGAAGTAGTTGGACAGAATCAACGAGAAAAAGTTTTAGTTATTAATAGTTTGTTTTATACTACTGGAGTACTGACACTTGTAGGAATATCTTGGTTACTGAAGGATTGGTTTTACATTCAATTATATTGCTCAGTTTCGCCCTTTATACTGCTACTGCTTACTAGGTAAATGTATTATTACTGACATACGTATTGTTTGTACTGGCACGCTATTATATAACGATAATTGATGTTTTGTTAAGATTTATTCCAGAGTCACCTAGGTGGTTGCTAACTCATGGCAAATTAGACGAAGCGGAGAAAGTCATAAAAGAAATAATGAAGAAAAATAAAATGCGAGCGACTGGTTTAACCGAAATTATTGCGGGACTGCATTCCAAAATTAAAATGGCAAGTCTTTTTTCGGGTTGAAATAGTAAACGATGAATTTTAATAATAAAAAATTACGCGAGCATTTGAAAGTAATTATTGAGATAAAAACTGACAGACAACAGCTAGCCTGCACTAGGTTACGTATTTACGGTGTCACAACGGATGAAAATATCGATTTTGACCAGGGCCAGCTCGAACCATAGTTGCACTAGGCAGTCACAATTCTTCCACCCTAGGCGACTGCTCAGCGTATCTATTGCTCGGACAGGCCTCGATCCAAAGCGCTACTTTCATCCGTTGCGCCAAAAACTCTTCGACCAATCCTGCTTTTCGGTTCTCGTGTTCATACTGAAAAGTTGTTTCGTGTTAAAATTAAGAAACTATTAGTGTAAAGTCTCAAAACGTAAATTATAAAGTATCTTCGGAATATAAAAGAGAAATAATTCAATTATGATAACTGTAGTAGTGTTTAGAATTATCACACTTTTATTCTATGTAAAACGATATTGAAATTTCATTACCATCGCCAGAATTTTTATATTGTGTAATTGCGATTATTTTCATTTTATTTCTTACAAAATTTACAGAACGATAAGAAAACAAAACGAAATTTCTTGGATTTGTTCAAAAAACGAGGACTGCGGAGAATGACGTTCGTTGCGGGTACCATCTGGTAAATATTATTAGTTTCTGTTACTTCTGTGTTCTTTAAATGCAGTAATAACATTTAGAATAATGAACATTAATATCGTTTTTAAGGATGATTGTAACCTCATTGGTTATGCAGATGGCATTAAAAATGTAATGCTTTTTTCTGTGGAATAGTACTTTCTAAAATATTTCGAAAAGGGAAACGGGAGGAGGTAGAACCAGTGGCGGATTTAGCATTCGAGAGGCCCCAGACGCAATCCAGTTTTCAGGCACTCCTCTAATATTTTCACCAGCCCTACGACCTACAATGTGCATTCTACGCGCACGTCTTCCACTCTGCTAGGCACTATACCGATAGTCCCAAAAAAGTGACATAGCGAAATAACATTGAAAATTAACCAATATAAAATTACAACTGTCTGGCTGTATGTTCAGATTGTATTAATTAGTAGCTGCAAGGACCCGCTTGGCTGGGTTTTTATTTGTATGTAATATAGTTTTTTTTAATATATAAGACTGTTTTTCTAAGTAATCTAGAATCTAGCTGCAAGGACCCGCAAAAACGCAAAAAAACGCCTGTAAATCTTGCATGCCGCTTTATATTAACACTTCCTTTGTTACTCAACACTTCCATTGTTAACATTTCCATTCTTAACACTTCCATTGTTAACACTTCTATTGTTAACACTTTCATTGTTGACACTTCCATTGTTGACACTTCCATTGTTACACATCTTTGAAGTCAACCACTTTCAACCCCATATCTCCCGCACCCTTATAGCTATCGAGACGCCAACCACCATAGTGCACGAATGGAGACTCGGGGCGACTACCACTTTTTGCGAAAACGAATATTACGCGCAACGCTGGGGTGAGGTCCGGGGAGGGAGTCCCTCCCCGGGAAGAAAACTTTTAAAAATTGACAATTTGAAGTAGCATTTTAATGCAAAAAAACAGCGTTTCTACGTGTTTAAAATCAAAATTTAAGTCCACTGAATTTTGTCGAAATACCTACATGTAAAATTATAGTCTCTCTATTGTTTTTTAAATTTAGTTTTATTATCAAATATATCATCATTTTATTGATATATTATTATTTTATTGTTAACTATTTTTGTTAAGTTTTTTATACTATTTTGATGCATATATAAAATAATTATTTCATTACTTTTTTCTTATCTTTTTCATATCAATTTAAAAAAATTAAATTAAAAAAAATGATAAGAAATTGCTTATTTGTCATCATTGCTTTTGAATACTATGAAAGTACTGTAATATGCATCTACATTGTGCACGCTTTTCAAAGTGCAATGCAACGCTTTTTAAAGTATACACAAGACACAAGTGTCCATGTCGTTCTTCTCTGCTGGTTGGCCCGGTACTGGGATTGGGAATGTGAAGGCCAAGTAATGTGGTTTGGGCGAACTCGTGCGTACACGTAGTGTTGAACATTACGTTAACACGCGATTAGTCGTCGTTTCTTTGCTTACTAGATATCTCGTAGCAAAGTAGAACTGACAATGAGTTAGCTTGAACTACACTTAAGTAAATTTCCAAGAAAATGACTAAAGGCTCTAAACTTTGCGACACCTCAATCGTGGCGCCGTGGCACCCTAAGGTGCCGCGGCACCCCGGTTGAAAAACACTGCGCTAGTCTATATATATAAAAATGAATGTACTGTATATTTGTCTGTCTGTCTTTGTGTCTGCCTGTATGTCCTTCGTGCATTACACACCGTTTATCCGATTGCCGCGAAACTTTGGGAAGTTGTTTAATATACTTCCGCGAAGGTTTCTGGCATAGTACATTTATCCTACGATAGATGGCGCGCGTGTATACGAGCACTGTATGTTCTGTGTTCGATCGATTTCAAATTGTGAAGACCATTTCCCCCTCCAAAAAGTATCTCTATATATGCATTTGTTATTTACGATATTTGTAATAATTTTTGTTTATTCATTTTATTTCAACTTTTTTTGCTAATTACGTATTCGCTCGAACTTCGTTAAAACCTTAACTGTACCCCGAACAACTACCGAAGTTGTAGGATGAAATTCGATTTTTTTTTTACCGATCTTGGAATCCCCTTTTCCAAATTTTAATATCGACTCGAAATAATTTAAAAAGACAAATTACAATAAAAGGTTTATTATCCGACTATCAGAAATTTCACAACATTCCAAGGAAGAGAGGAAGGAGCAATTAAATAATTAAAATTATAAAGGATTAAAAATATATATATAAAAATGGGGAATATCGCGCTTCTGACAATCGCCGCCAGTGTGTGGGCCAAATTTGGAGAATCCGCGCTTCTCGCGCGGACAACTGTATATGGCCGGCTCACGTGACGGAAAACCTTCCGATATATTTGTACACGCACCAGACGGAAAAACAAAAAATATCGCGTATCCACGAACACTCCGATAAATAAATAGAATTGAAAGGACACTTTGAAATGTTTTTTCCCCGTGAAAATGAATAATAATAATAAGTTTCGATAAAAATGATAAAATGTAAATTGAATTTTATCGTAACGAGTTTGGTCGAATTTCCTTTCTTCTGAGATGGCAGCAATGCGCGACGGATAAGCTAATAATTTATAAATTTGGAATAAATACTACAGATTTTATATTAGTAAGTATTTTTTATTAATTACCTATTAATATAATACACATTAACATGACCATCCTTACTGTCGACATCAATGTGAAATAACTAATCACGGGTGGCAGGTAGCGACACATTGCAGTGGAGGGTATACGAAGGGTATCTGAGGTAAGCGAAACACGTTGCGATCGTTGGCGTAATGGATGTACGACGCGATTTATCCCGTGTCCTTTGGCGCGGAAGCCGATAATCACGCCGATTATCGGCTTCCGGGCCAAAGGTGGAAGCATTTCCGAAGCGGCTAATTTTGTAAACTGTTCGCGTGTCGCCGTGGTAAAAGTATACCGTGCGTGGCAAAATGGCACTATCCAAAATCTGCGAAGTGGTAAATGTGGTGCACCACGAACTATAGACGACAGAGGTGAACGACGGCCGCGGAGATGTGTTCGGGCAAATAGACGCGCGACCATTGACCAACTGCTACCAAAAGTGTCTCCTCGACCAGTTCGGTGAACGTTGCTGCGTATGGGCCTCCGCAGCCGACGCCTGATTAAAGCACCTATGCGGACTACTGTTCGTCGGCGACGAAGGCTGGGATTTGCACGCCAGTACGGCAATTGGACGTCCACTGAGTGGCGACGGGCGACTTTTTCCGATGAATCGCGTTTTACGCTCCATCGGACAGATGGACGCTGGCGTATACGCAGAGCCGGCCCTACCGTAGGGCGAACGGAGCAGCCGCTCCAAGCGCTAAGTCCTAGGGGCGCCTCAGTGGTAAAGAAAATTAAAGGGTATAAATTAGGGGCAACCAAGGGGGCGCCATAATAGGATCTCGCTCCATCCTAAAACTTGCCTCGGGCCGGCACTGCGTATGCGGCGTGAGGCATCCGAAAGCAAACACCCGGCAACAATTGCCGCAAGGGTCCAAGCTGGAGGAGGGAGCATTATGGCCCGGGGAATGTTTTCGTGGCATTCTCCAGCTGCACTCGTCATTGTGGAAGGCACGATGGATCAACAGAAGTACACATCTGTCCTTGCGGACGATTCTGGCTTTTGACAGGTGATCGCATTAATGTGACTGATTTCTTATATAATATAAAGTTTTATTTCGTTATTAATTAATACGATTTCTTTTCAATTTAACGGCGATAATATTCTTATACAGAAATTAAGTTCAGTATTTTCGGGTCAACTATAGTCTTTGCAGCGAAAGAGTAGACTGAGTTGGAAAGATGAAAGGAATGGGGGAGATGTGAGAGTAACGTTAGAATTAAGAGTGAGTGATAAAATTTGTAAAAGAATAAAACAATAAAATTATGATAAGGATGGTATAAAAACGTTTTAAAACTGTAAAAAAATGCTGAAAATTATCAACTCCCAAGATGGTAGCCACGTGTTTCCTTCCACCCCTTTCTTCTGACATAGATCGGGTTGACTCGTATCTATTCTATTCTTTCGCTACCGGACTATAAATAAAATAACTCTTAGATTCTTTAATCAGTTATCAATTTTAATTTATTGCGCGAAGAATTAAAACATAAAATTATTGAAAACAATTAATTATATTAAAACATCAATAGAAATGAATGTTATAAAAGTGGCTGTTCATTAAATTTACTTTCAGGTTTATCGTGAAGTTCAATTTGTACGCCTTGTCTCTCAATCCCGATATTGCAGGAGGGAACGTGTTTCTCCTCCTCTCGCTATTTTACCTGTTAAATTACGTGGCTGCAGGGGTTTTGTATGTTATTTTGAGGCGATTTCAAAGAAGACGTATCGAGATGTTTCTTTGCGTATTTGTTGGGATTTTGTCCTTGCTCCTTACAGCTGTTTCGAAAGGTATATTTACTCAACATCTTTACTGTTTATACTAAACACGAATAAAAGTAAATGTTTTTGCTTAAAATCTAATACAAATATTTATTTATAGTATATTAAGGAATTATGACTTAATTTAAATGGCGAATTTCTTTCGACAAAACAAAAGTAAATTATAAAAATAAATATTTATCAAATAATCCCATAAATGATGTATTTCTAATAGAGCTTTTCTAATAATACTTTAGCATTTATCCACACGTCCCTTTGTCAACGCAATTTAACTTTTCCGTTAATCTCTCGTGTCAGTACGCAATCCTAATTAACCGATATTCGTGAGAAGAACATTCGAAGAAAAGATAAGAATAAATAATATATTAATAGTTTGCGTGTCATCGAAATATGTTATTTTAGTTCCCGGTGTACAGAGATTATCAAATATGTCGATCGGCGGATTCAAAAGCCCGCAGCTCGTTGAGAAAAATGCACGCTCTCACCGGAAGTGTACGAAGTTGGCTCGACCAACATCCAGAAAAGTTACAAAAAGCACCATCGCGCGCTTTATTTTTATTTTGCTTTAGGTATTCAAAAGGATCGCATTCGGAGGTAATGCCGAGGCGCAGACCGTGGATAGCGACATTACGAGTGGCATATAGGTTACCCGACATCATCGTATTACAAGCCTCTCCCGTAACCTCAGCCACGATGCTACCGACTACGCATCGCGCAATGCCGCTTTTAGGTTACCTCGCAGGAAAAATCTAGGGGGGTAGAATCTGTAAATATGATGGCCACAGATCAAATTTATCGGTTATCGCCAATTCGGCAGGTTCATAGAGCGAACCGCTGGGCGAACCAGCTGGGATATAAGCTGACAAGCCATTCTATCGATACCAAATCTGCCGTATTTGTTTCAACTTCAATTCTCGTCCATTGTCGGAGGTCCCGATTTTTGGAAAAAGTTTTATTTCAAAATCCAACCGCTAGAACAAAATTTGGCGCCGCTGCTTTCTTAATGGGCATATTACGCGCGTTTTCTTAGCGTTAAAAAGAGAAAATAAAAATGTAAAATTTGTTAAGATCGACAGTAAAGAAAACCAGTTGTAAAAGTGTCGAATAGGCGACGCTGATAAAAGCAAAATTTCAATTAAAGAAAACGCGGTTTAGAAATCGAAACGAAACTAGAAAAATATCAGAACGAGCGCGGGTTCGCGATCATCGATTAAACGCCATCAGAGACGAATAGATCGTGTCTAGCCGACACGGAGCTCCATTTACGCCCGGAGACGGGTGCGAGACCGATTAGAAAGCGCGAAAAACTTATAAAAACTCCGACGTCGAGGACAAAAGGTGGCCTTCTCTAGTCTACCTGCGGCGCTCGTCGTACGTCCGTTGGTCTTTTTTTTGCCCATTTCTCTCACATTAAAGTGACGCCGCCCCGGAGCCCCGTCGGCGTGGGACCGAAACGAAAAGAAAGGAACTTCCCGAGACAACTGGCAGAGCTCTGAATCCCAGCATCTTGGTAATTTTATGTAAGCGTATTCGTCAAAAATAAACGGTTTCTTTGCGAAACACTGGTCTTTCTCGCCTCCCGAAAACCGCCACCCGCGTACGAATAGAGCTGAAGCCATCCGGACGGTAGGGAATAAAAACTCCCCCAAACGGCGTCCTTACAGTGGTGTCCGAGAAGTGGGATTTTAAGTCCCCGTCTCCACCGGGTCGGGAGCTTACGTTACGAATATCGGTTATAAAGGAGGTCTGAAGACGTTTTTCGCAATTCTTCGACGGGTTCTCCGCTCGATCGACAGTTATTTCTTAGTTAATTCCAACTCGACGTTTGTAATTAAAATAAAATTATTTCGCTTCTCAACTCTCGAAATCCGTTAGTACTGTACTGTACGTAGTATGCGCACAACGGAGACAGCGGTGCCAAATTTCGCCCCGTGGCTGAATTTTGAAGTAAACTTTTATTCTCCGTATATTAAAACAGCGTACTGGAGACAGTATTTAGTTAAGATTTGCCTCAATACAGTTTTATCTACAGAAAATCGATTCCGTAATTATTATAGCCCTGTACACGGACACAGAATTGTTATTAAACAACTAACAACAAGGAGATGTTTATTTTACTCCGATTGTTTTTTCATATTCTTATCTATATGCATTTCGCCTTCTTTCCTCGGCCTTTATATTCACTGATGCTGGTCTCTTCCGTTTATATGCGGCACGACGGTCATTCCGCTAAAATACGGCAGTAATTGTACGTTGAACTAGCTGTTACCAGCGGCTTTGCCAGCGAGGATTTTGCAAGCAAACCCCATTTATATTCAGTATTTCAACGATTATAGTAATTGTTATATAACACCTACCACCGAGAATCAAACCAACTGTTTTCAATTTGATCAATTTTCTGGAACGTTTACAGTCGAGCCGATACGCAATAACAAATTCGAATTTAAAACGGTTCGAACATTTTTAAAATCGAAATGTATAAAAATATTTATAACAATGTCCGAAATGTTACTCGATGAAGACTAAATCCTCTCCCTCTCCCGCCCGCGGGGGAAAATCCCTTCTTAGTGTGCACCCTACTAAAACGCAGATAAAAATAGTACAGTGGAAGCTGTTGTTCCGGTTAAGTCTTAATGCTCTTCCTCTCCCCCCGCGGGGGAATTTCGAAAAATCCCGTCTTAGTGTGCGTTCCATGACGTACCCTAACTGTGTACCAAATTTCACCTCTTTAGGTTAAGCGGTTTGCTCTGGGCGATGATGAATCAGTCAGTCAGGACAAGCAATTTTATATATTTAGATTATAGACATTTTACAATATTTTTAAACATTTTTTTGTTAGAATACATATGGATACGTGTGGGTTTGATCGTATTGTGCAGATTCTTTTCATCGTTAGCATCGGCGACACTTACCGTATTCACTATTGAGTTATATCCAACCGTGGTACGTACCGTCGGTATCGGATTTTGTTCTACTTGCGCAAGAATTGCCATTATTTTTGCTCCTTTTATGAAAGATGTGGTAAGAAACACGTTCTTCCTTTTTAAATATAAGAAATTATTTTCAATAATATTAAATATTTTATTTATCAGAGTGTCAAGGTTGACTGGAGACTTCATTTTATTATCGTAGGAGTGTTGATGATTATAACAGGATTTGGTGTTATTCCTTTACCCGAGACTAAAAGTACTCGGTTGAAAGATACTATTGAAAAGTGAGTAATAAATTGCAAAGCGGACTATCGTGATTTCGAATTATGATTTAAAGTGTAAGAGCGACAATGCAAAAATGTAACACGGCGAAATTGGTGTGTGTTTGGTACGTTGATAGAACGATAACGAAAATGATATTCAAAATAATTGACTCTCGCGTCTTTACGTGTACTAAACACAGAAGACACTGATTGAGTGTAACATAGAACTAGACCCGAATGCACTTAAACCAGTTACGCAAAAACAGGCCGACGAAGACTCGTAAAGCGGGTAGAGGTTTAAGCCACAATGCATTCAATAATTTAATTATAAATAGAGCGGTAAAGGTCAGACGACGATAATAAAACTCGTGCAGGACTGAACAAGAAGGAAAAAGAAAACGTGAATATATTTTCTAAAACTTTTACTAAAATCAGACTGAAAACGGAAGAGAATAAGTTCGTGTTTTATTACGAACATAATAAAACGTGTCTTTCTTGTCGACACGCAGACAGTAAGAAATCCTTGTTATAGTAAAGTCGATAATCGTTAAAGATCGGTGGAAGCTATTATAATAAAATGCTAGTTGGGCTACAATTTGAAAAAATTGTAGACCTACAAATTTTCCCACTGTCGTCCCGTGTCTGCCTCTCTTTCCTTAATCTCGGGAACAGAGATAAACGAAAGACGAGACCACATATGGAAAACTTAGGGCAGGAGACTCCGAACTAGATAAGAACTTCCGATGCAAACCGAAAGTCGTGTTATTTCAATTCGAAACTTTTCCCCGAAAGCAATTAATAGTTATCTATTGTTAAAGTCACTACTAATTTGATTGGCAGAGCATATATTTCAGATGAAATGCATTAAAAATACGATTAAAAATTGCAGCCCGGCATTCTGACGATATGGCAATAAATAATTGCTCGCTTAATAGTCATAAAATGTTAAAGTCTAACATTGATTTAAGATAAAGTGCAAAAACTTAAAATTATTTTAACATTTTCTAACTTTAATAAATTTATTTTTTATGGAATTATTGTGTATTACGATGTTAAATTATAAGTATAAAGTATAAAGTTATAGCCGTTAAGGTATTAATACAACAATTAATGGCTCTACACAGGAATGAAGAACAGAGCGAAATACAGTGATAAATTTGTAATGGCATTAAAGTTATACGCGTGGCATCGTACACCAGACCCGTAAATTGTACGTACAATTTACCGGTCTCACTTTTCCGGATTTTGAGGCCTCTGGACATTTTAGCATTTGTCGAAGGAAAGACTGCAATAATCGAACCTTTTGACCGCGCAATAACTTTTCCCATTCCCTGTACGAAACGCATTTGTTTTTGCAATTTCTAGTATCGTATCTCTTTTATCTCGCTTCAAAAATGAATAAATATTTTTAAAATAATACTTATTTTAATTTAATGTTTAAATATTCGAAAAAAGTTCATTTCTTTTTTCGTAATTTCCGTAAAATATTCTTTTTCAGACATAAAAAAGTAAACGAAGACCAAGAAACTTGGACCGCATCGCGACCAGACACGAATTGAATAATAGCACAGTTCATCGGTAGAATAATCTTTCTGTTTTAAAAAAGAAATGCCAATGATAATTATTAAATTACAACGCCCAATTCACTGTTATGGAGGTACGTCGCATCATTTTTACATATTCCTCTTGTATATCGAAGGAACGGAAATAAATATTAGAAGAAATACAGTTTCCTCGCCTCCGGTCGATGTTATTTTTCTTCATCCAACATACACTCGGACTCAACCAATATTATATAACGCCCACCCGATTGCTCGGAATTAAACGAACGTTTTCGACTCGATCAACGGGCCATCATCGGGTTATCAATTTTCTGGAACGTTACAATCGTTCTATAATCGAACCAATACGCAATAACAAATTCGAATTTAAAACGGTTCGAACATTTTTAAAATCGAAATGGCTAAAAATATTTATAACAATGTCCGAAATGTTATCAATTTAATACACCTAAGTACTCGATGAAGACTAAACGCAGTTGAAAACAAAAAATCGCATCTAAAATAGTACAGTAGAAGCCGTTCTTCCGGTTAACCCTTAATGCTCTCCCTTTTCCCACCACTTGGGAATTTCGAAAAATCCCTTCTTAGTGCGCGTTTTCGTGACGTACCCTAACTGCGTACCAAATTTCCCCTCTTTAGGTCCAGCGGTTTGCTCTGGGCGATGATGAATCAGTCAGTGAGTCAGTCAGTCAGGACAAGCAATTTTATATATATAGATAAGATAAAAAGTTATAAGGACCGCGGAGCCGGGGCTAGGGTCGTTACGAACCGACTATGGCATCGAGTTTGGAAAAGTTGGAAATTTATAAATCCAGCCCGACCGGCACATGTTTAAATTACGAGGATGCCACGGGGTTAAAATCTGACGCCATAGCACCGCCAGCCTTTAAACAGTAGGCTTACGGTGCTATTATCATTCGTAAATTCACCCCGAAGCATTGGTGAAAAATTCTCGTCTCTCGTGGCCAGTCCGGGTTTCGCTCCGGATGGCATTTTTCTTCCGGCATAGTCTAAATTATTTATTTCTAATTATTACGTTTAATATAAAATGGCGACATAATAATTATAATAATCCTTTAGTCAAATTACATTATCTTATAATTGAGACGGGTCGATAATAGTAATAATAGGCGCAGAACCCAAACGGTTAGGAGTCGAAAGTCGAAATTTGGTACACAGTTAGAATTCGTCACGAGAACGTACGCTAAGAAGGGATTTTTTTCGAAATTCCTCCGGCGGGCGAGAGGAAGAAGATTAAAGCTTACCCCCAACGTCTCGGGATCTATCGCGCTATTATAAACTAGTAGCCCGGGACGCCCCCTAGCCAGCGTTCTAGCAGCGGCGGTGTCATCCCGTGGTATAAATAATAAATTCCCGTTACAAATAAAAATAAAAACACATAACTGTTAATAAATAAGTTATACCTGAAAATCATGGCCGGGGACGTCCCCTAACGCGCGTTCTGGGCATTCCGTGACGGATTACGGACGACATCCACGGCTTACGTAAGTAGATGCGGTTTTTTTGCCTTTTAGTAGGACACGCCACGAGAATGCGCATTAAGAAGGAATTTTTGGAAGGGTTAAGGATACTGTACTGTTCTATTTTATACATAGTTTTCGCCCGAGCACGCCGGGCTGGTCGCTGGTATATGTAGGCCTATAATTCATTTAAAAATTCCTAATTAAATAGTTAATCCGGTTCTATCGTTTTATTCTACCGTAAATAGTAACATTAATCGAAACGTGTTAAAATTTAAAAATTTGTAACAGGATAACGATCGTTCCCGTAAAATTTAAAGATTGCGACCAGGTAAATTTATCCAGGTGGTTAAATTATGCCAGTTTCTTATCTACTGGTAAATCTAAGTGAAAGGGAAATAAAAACGAAAGGAAGAAGAAGAAAGAAAGAAAACATTTTGTATCAAAAAAGCAAAACAAGAAACAGAATGAAACACTTCAGAATAAAAATGTTGGAATTGAATGGAGACTTTTCTTCTCGCTCCTCACCGCAATCGTTGCTGCAATTTTTCTCATATCATTATTCGAATAGGTCATCCCAATGATATTCCAACACAATTTTACTTTCTAATCTAATTTGTTTTCCTTTTAAAGCCGAGATTTAAAAAACACTATAATAATGAAGAGAAAAATGGCACCGAAATTTAAAGAAGAATCGCGTCTTATTAAAAACACAGATTGTTGTCCTACGGGCGCAATTCGATTAAAAATTTCCCAAATCCATTTCCTTTTGTATCAAAAAAAGAATTTATTACTGCACAAATGGTATGTTTGAACAGTTTAAACGACGATACGCCAAGGATGGCCAATAAAGTAAGAGTAAAATGAAAAAGCTTACGTAATCTCGCGCGTAATAATAAGTTCAATTATTATTAAACAAAAAATTGATTTCCCCTTCCAAAATTTCCCATAATATTTCTCGGTCAGCTTCAAAACTCCTCCGATCTGGCAACTGGCCTCATTCGTAACCATTGACCGATGAAAAACGTAGTTTCGTTTTTAAGTCGGCCTTTTTGCGCGCACTTAAAGTTAAACGTTATGGTAAAGTTGAGTCGATTGGATAAAACGAGTTCAAAAATAAATATTATTTTAATGGTTACAAATATTTATTTGTATGTAATTTAAAATTAAAATATGTGGTTAAAACCGTACAAGTTTTATAAAGTTACCGACGGATGAGCCCGGCGTTGCTCGGGCAAAAAGTAACCATAGCGAAGATTAAGATTATTAGATTATACCCATCTATAATAGCGGGTAACGCTATTATAGGATGCAAGAATTAGGTTTACTCTCTCCGAGACTAAGTAGAAAACTTTTAGACGGGTTTAAAACCATGTTGGATTTGCCGCAAAAAACCGCATTTAAAATAGTAGAGTAGAAGCCGAGTTCTTCCGCGTAATCCTTAACTCTCTCCCTCTACCGCGCGGGGAATTTCGAAGAATCCCTTCTCGCCACGTACTCCGTGTTTCACCCGTTTAGGTTCGGCCATGACGAATCGATCGGTCAGTCGAGACTATCGAGCTACAATTTGGCTAATTAAGTCATTAATATAAAGTAATTTGTCACTAGAGGGAGGCGTTAAGCGCCATCCGTTAACTAAATAAATAATTTTAATTTTAATAAATTATTAAATAATTTAGAACTGACCCGGGCGGTAAAGGCCGATGAGTTTTCCTTAAATACAAAGCCTTACCCGTCTGTGAATTACGATTTTGAATTGTCAAATCCAAACTCGCCTACGTATAACTACCGTATTCGGTTAATTAAGAGCGACACTCGAATTTCTGAAAGTACGGCAATAAATATATGCCGATTGTATAAATTATTCGTAGAAGAGTGAATTGTAACCAGTAGCGTAGCGTAGTGGGGGCGGCAAAATTTCACAATAAATAATAATAATATCTTGTAAGAATTTGAACCATTTTATTTCATATTTTCGTCCACCTACGACTCGGACCGATTGAAATGAGCACGGAATAGTGTTACCATCCATCGGGATAGTCAGGGAATCGACTCGCCATCCGGGGATATCGTGCGCGACCTGTTGACCTTTTTTCTTTCTTTTTGCTTGTACGATTTATTCGTATATCGTACCCCTCCAATATTCAATAGAGTTAGGTCACTGGCGTTACTCCTATCCGAGTCTCCCTAGTCGCTAACTGTAACTGATTTAGAACCGACACGCGCCTCACATTATTCTTCGCATGGCAAAATGACATACGCGTGCGTCGGGAACTTCTATTCGAACAAATCTCACCCGCCGTCCGGGTCGGCGATTTTAATAAGGTGGCGACGCTAGCACGGAATTTTTCTTTACTTATGTTGTGAAGAAACTGAATTTTAGTCTTTTAAATCGAGATACCTAAATAAGGGAGGGCGAAATTTTCCTCCGCCCCGGGCGGCTGATACCCACGCTACGCCACTGATTGTAACGATAAAGAAACAAAGCGATAGGTTAAGTACTTAGACAAAGTTTAATTTGTAAAGTAAAGTACAATATTAAGAACCGAAACAAGAGTTCTTATCAAAGGTAAATACAGCACACGCCGTTATTTGGACATTTCTTTTCGGGGTGTGTAATTGCGCCGCCACAGTCTTCTACGGGAACACAATCCGCAGCCGGCATCTCGAAGCAATCGTAAACTGCGGCTGGAAGAATAAAGAAAAGTCAGTTAATATTTTGATATACTTTTCGATTTTCGTCACAAAATAATCGTTGTTAATGCCCGAGATGGCTTTTTGCTGGCGATGGAAAAGCCAGCCGCTGTTTATTTATGCGCTTTGATTGCCAAAGGATCTGGTAGAAAATGCTGGAAATTGAGCGTAAGCAATGAGGATTTTAAAGACTTTAATTTAAGGATTTTTCTGCCCTCGAGGGACGTGTGGTTTGTACGCGCTTGCCCTATATATTCCCAGGATCTTTATTTTGCTTGTTGGTTGGATCGGGTGTTGGTTGATGTAGTATTGGCTAGTCTGGCGGGGAGGTTTAGAAAAGACCGGCATCTCACATTTCTGTGGTTGTAGTGTTAGGCGGTTTCCGATTGTCCGCTGTTCGAGCGTGCGGAAAAGTTCTTAGTTTGCCTTTGTAGTTGGTACGGTGTGTCTGGGCGTAATATTGCGGCGATGTCGTCTGCGTAGACGTATAGCTGCGTGTTAGCGTTTTTGAGGTCATAAATAGCGCGTATAAGCCTATAAACGGAGATATTATATTGCTTTGTGAGATTCCTCTCGTTTGTTTTTCATTAGCTCTCCATTTGACTTTGGCCGTGTATTCATTGTCTTTTGTACTGTTATCGGCGATTTTAAAAACTAATGTTTCGTCTCGTTTTGTTTATATTTTTTCATAAATTATTTCTAAAAGTGATTTAGTTGAAAATATTTCTTACTAAACCCATTAAGATTTATATCTAGAGCCCAATTTGGTGCGAAATATCGATTTATTTATTTATTTTATACACATTTTAATCATTAATGTCGACATTCGAAGCAGATTTTATCCTAGGATTAAACGGGTGTGAATAACGGGTGTACGTTAATTCTATTCATCTCTTGGCCAGAAAATGCAACGACTATCGAAGATGTATTATCAAATGAAAGGAAATTTAAATGGAAAGGCAAACATAATAAATTATGAAAACTCATTTGAAAACTGTTTACGTCCTTGCAGCCAAGGTTTTTTCATCCGATATTTAACATAAACAACAAATCTTCGAACATTATAAACATAGATAAGCACATCTTTCATTACATTTATTAATATTCATTTTTTCCTTACCGCTCGATTATGTTTTATATACAAGTCCAAACATTCATTTTTACTTTCTCGGCTGCTATATGTAATGGAAGGACAAAAAATGACCGCCCCAAAGGTTATTTCTGGAAACGTCGAGAAATGAAGAAAAATTTGCCATTTTTTTCTATGTTACCAATGTTAGTGTGTGTATAAGGAAGGAAATTTTGTTCACCCACTTTAAAGCTTAATAACTCCCGCGTCTTTTGCAGGGCGGTTTGTGTATTGGGGATTGGTGCTATTCAATTTTGGTGTTAAAGTCCAAGTAGACGAGAAGATGGAGGGAGTCGTGTGTCGTATCCGGAGTGGAAGACTTCACTCGTTATTAGCGTTTACTTTATTATTTATTATTAGCGTTTAGTTTTTTTATAAAACTAATCTCTATCCTCAAAAGTAAGTTTCGTACCATTTTATAATAATTAATAACACGAAAAGTTTTTAAATAAAATCTAGGAACACGGGATTGTATTGTACAGGCAATTTTAAATGTTTTTGACTGGATTTTTATATAATAAAATATCTATTTTTATTAATCGACACGTCTCGTAAATCTCAAATAACTACTTTCTTTTCTATTACACTGTCTTTAAAAACTGCGGAGACTTTTAAACCTACAAAGACAGTAATAGGTTTACGAGTCTCTAAATTTCTATTAAAAATAAAACTACTTACGATTATAACAGCACACGGTTTTGTTTTGTTGCCAACAGAGATTAGGAGTCCGAATTATTCTGTTATATCGACAATGGTTTTCGTTAGTACAGACACCGTCCTCCAAGTAGCAAGGATCTTCGTGCTTAGAATCTTCCTCTATTAAAACGATAACAACCGGGAAATTATTATAAACGCTAGTATTTAACTTATTTTCTAACGTTTCGTTAAATCTTGCGACTCGAGTTTCATTCGTTTATAATTAAGATAAGAGGCCGAAACTTTGAGCCCGCACCTAACTCCGATGACAATGCATTTTAATGATTTTTGGGGCATGGAAACTCGATAAACATAACCAAATGTAGAATTTAGTAAAGTAGGTGTTATCTCCACCGTGTATTTCGTCTCCCGACTGCCTTACTTCAAAAAACGTGACCAAAAGCATTTAATTTTTCTTTTAAATATACTACAATTAGTTTTCGTATAACAAAGTAATGAAAGCGATTTACTCACCGGCAAAGATAACTAAAACGAAGAAAGAAATAATACCAAGTAGAATATTCTTCATTTCTGTAAAGGTGCGACGAGACAAATGGCCATCCGTTTACTTCTACATTCGGTTTGGCAGCCGAAGGTTATGTAAATACGTAACAATTTACAAATGTTTGTGTTCTTCTTATCGAACTTGTGTATTGCCTAATAATTAGCGTAAAATATTATTTTTAATCACTATTTAACAAGAGTTTTCGAGAAATAATTTCATTAGAAATGATGGTACCAAACTATAAATAAATTTGCAACGCCGTCGCCATATTTATTTACTTAATAGGCTATACACCGATGCGTACAATACTTGTAAAATAATTTTATTTCAATAAATCCGAGATAATGTTTCGGGTTTTTTGATAGTTTCCAGTTTAAATTAGTGCAAAAATATAAACTATTCGATTCTATATTCTACCCGAAATAATTATCATTCATTTTCATAGCCGAAAATGACTTGAAATTTCTACTTGCAAAAGTTTCTCTTTCATCCATCACTTTGGTTTCTTGTTAATAACATTGCGAGGTAACACTTTTCATTAAAACAGCTTTAACTCGTCTACTTTAAGTTAAAGGATTTTTTCCTTTCCAGGTCTGCTCCAGTCAAAAAAAGTATATGGAAAAATAAAAATCAAGTTTAAGTCATTTTATTCGACTTTACGTCCGTCCGCCACAAATATCGAAGTCGTAATATCACTAGAAAAGCGTTTCGAGCGCATAAAATCATATTAATTAAAATACATACTGTACATTTACAAGTATGTACCGTATTTACGGTACATGCATTCGTAAATTTAGATTACTTTTTTCCGTACTATATTAAAAAGTAAAATTTATTAATAATTTTATTTATAAAATTATTAATAAATTTTACTTTATTTATTTATTTTTTATTTAAATTATTAATAAATTTTACTTTTTATTTATTTAATTATAAATTTATTTATAAATTTATTAATTTATAAATAAAATACAAAACCGGGAAATGGTAATTTATGGTTTAGCCTAGTGACGAGTAAATTCGACTTACGTCGCCTGTCCTGGAACCAATTACCGACGTAAGGCGAGGTACACCTGTAACTTATATTCTCACACTACTTATTTATTCGTCAGTTTCGGATACAAATGAGTACAGTAAATCTAATTATCAGAATCTTTACATTTCGAATTCCTTCACTATTTTGAATTGTAAATATTTTTATTTTCCCCGCTGTTGTAGAATATAACGTAAAAGTATTGTAATGGATGAAATTTTGATCCTCTCGGTGTTTCCGCATTTAACCATCCGAGAGCTCGGAAACTTAGAAGAAACCTTTACGAAACACCCGAGGACTGGATAGACCAAAAATCTCGAAATCTGGCAGCTTTATTTCTATATATTCATTTAAAGTCTAATGGTTAAAGGTGAATCTCGAGTGGAGCCACATTTAATAAAAGTTTTACTCGTTATTAGCGCTTACAATTACCCCCAAAATAAGCATTTCGCTTTTTATAATAACTAATAAAAGATATTTTTAAATAAAGAGACGGGACTTTAATTTTGTAGATATTTTTCTCTTAATGCAGTCCGATTACTCTGTCCTTTGTTTTAAATGAGTGGAATTGCCATTACACAGCCGTCTTACTAGTATTTTTACAACAGCAGTCTATGTTACGGCCAAACCTTCTATTGGTCGGTTTTATATCGGATAATTTATAAATTTAAATAAAATAATCTAGTTGTTCATTTAATAACTACCGTATTAGCCCGAATATAACGCGACCCCGAATTTAACACGACTCCAAAATTTTCATAAAGATATTTAGAAAAAAATAATACTCATAAAAGAATTCAAAGAAAGTAAAATTCAATCAGATAAGCATTTATTTATGTAATTACAGTAGAGCGTCGTTTATCCGAATCAATTGGGGACTGGGGTGGTTGGGATAACTTATTTTTCGGATAACGAATCATGTACGAAAAAATATATTAATTTATCCCATGATGAAATTTTTCTCCGTTGCGTGTCGCTTCGCGTTGAATTTTCGTCGATGTTAAGCCTAACGAAGACTATTGTATCGTTAAAAATTATTTTTTTTATTTTGTACAAACAAAATAAATATATTGAAAAATATAAAAACAATAAAAATTATACTTCAGATGTTAATTTAGTATCAAAAACGTAAAATATTTGAGTAACCCGAGAAATAGCCGAAGATTGCAGCGCCACAGCACTAGCGAAAATCTAAATTTGCCGACTGAATGATTTCGGATAACAGACGTTTCGGATAACCAGCTTTCGGATAAACGACGCTCTACTGTATAGCTAATAACATAGGCAACCTCTATAGGAAAATGTCCTTGTTTATATTACATTCCATTACTTAAATCCCGAATTTAGCGCGAGTCGATTTTTTAACGGAAAATAAATGGTCGAAAAATATGGCGTTATATTCGGGCTAATACAGTATATTGTCAATTAACATTCAGATATTTTATTTATCATAAAATTCGTAAGTATCGGGAGTAATTTTCTGCAAAGCATATTTCTGATTTATGAAAACTAATCGACGTTGGCGTGAAATATAAACAGAATATTCTAATTAAAGATCTAAAACATATTTCAGTTTTATTTTGGGGGTTGTTGTACTATATATAATACGGAAAGTATTGTATTTGGATCAAATTTGACTCTCCGGAGTTTTTGAAAATCTCCACCATTTGACACCCCCCCAGTTGAGAAGACAAAAATCGGAGGATGTGTCTACAGTATTTTGTTTAATACCTCGGGATGGGTGAAGATTGAGAAACGAAATTTGCCACCGTGACTCGCGTGCATTGATGATATTAAATTTTGCTGGTTAAAGTCGAGGGGTGGGAAGATAGAGGGAATGGCGTGTCGTGTGTGGAATGGGGTAAGACTTAACGAAGATATTAAAACTAATTCCTACCAGCAAAATTAAGCTTTTTCCATTTTATAGTAATTAACGATATAAAATAAAATATGATAACATGTGGCCCCGCGCGCACTTTTAAATGTTGCCAGGATTGCTGCTGGATTTTTATAATAGAGCGGCAGATAAAAACGATAAAATTTGGCGTAAATAAGATAATTTTACGTTAAAAAATAACTCTATTCTACTTTGATTTTTCTACACGCTACAGACTTACTTTTAATGAATTCAACACTGTACACGAATTCCTTAGGAACTAATTACACTTACACGCAAGTATATTAATACTGTACTAGCATTGTAAGTGTAATTTTATTTTTAATACTCGTAAAGGTTCGGTTAATATTGTCAATATTTTCGTGTAAAAACATAAATAAATTGCAAGAAAATTCAAATTTATTCAACCTTTAAGAGGTCGTATATAATAAGGTATAATATAATTTTTTAATAACAGAAAATTGTTGGGTGAAACGATGGATAAAAATTATAGAAATAAACAGATTATTTGAATGGTCGTTGTTGTCATTAAATTAAAATGCAGCATATTTTGTTTCCGGGGCAGGTCTTTTCGTGTCTTCTTATGGCCCAACCGCAGGATTCTTCGGGAAGACATTCCGCGCCGGCTACTTTCAAGCAAGTGTAGGCAGTGGCTGGTAACATAAAAAACTTCATAAATAAAAAGTCCCTTTCCTTTATTCTTTAATTTAGAAATAAAACAATTTATTAAATACAATTCACCAATCTCTGTTGGTCGCAGCGTACACATAACTATAAAGACAAGAATTGGTTATGGCTACCCACCAAGATGTGAATTGGTAAAATTGTGGCTTAGAAACTGTGCTAAAATAAAATTTTATATAATAANTTCCAGGAAGGAAAGTTTCGTAACTTATAGAATGAAGCAAAAAATTATTTTACTGATTCGTTAAATTTTCCCATTAAATTTATATTAAAACACGCGTAATTGTGATGTTGTATAAATAAATTATACATAAAAATATCTTTAAACCAAAATTTAATTTAAAACATCATTTTAAATAAATATAAATGATTATTTTTAATACGTTAATATTCATTAATAACTCTCTTATTGCGCATATCTTAACTGAAATCATCTTTCAGAACCATTATTTCGGGTCTTACGTGGAAATTAAAACGCCAATAAACTTCAAATTATTCCTTCTGAAATTTTTTCCTCGCTACCTACTCCTCTTCTTGTCACATGTGTCACCAATATTTAGACGCCCCCAACACTAAAGTCACACTTGATCTGTCTCCCCGAATAAAAAGTCAAGCATTTCTGTAAAACAAATCTACAGTACACTAATTTATTCGTGTTTCCGGCCCGGGAAAATATAATGTTAAAAATGGGACAAAAGAACGAAAAGAAATTCACTTATTTACCGCGGAAGAGTCTGACCACATTGTACTAACTCCTAGACTAAAGTTATGTTATAAGGCCTATAACGGTATTTTTAAATGTATCCTGCACTTGTAAAGGTTAAATTGTTGCCATTATTTTTATCCTTTCGTATCAAAAGTTCTAACGGGGCACATCTAACATTAGCGCAGCGCTTCTACTAAAGTGTAATCGTTGACCTTTATTATACTCCTAATATTATACTTCTGTATAATAATTTTGATTAAAAAATGATTTCAAATATAAAAATTTTTGACAACCTTTCGTTCTGCTAACACTCCCCATCTCCTGTCGCAATCTATTATAAAATTTGCACATATCTCTCTTCCCCAGTGAAGACGTCCCAGTTCTCCTTGTAAAGAATAAATAAAAGTCTCTGGTATTAAATGAGAAATGGCGCTACAAACTCTGCTCCTAACAGGGAATTAATATTATCTCTTAAGAGAATGTCAGAGAAAAATTAAATGTATTATTTATTCATCATCACATATTCTACAACACGCACAATTACTGCACCCGCGAGTCTGGTGCCGTTTTCTAGTGTCCTTTTCTGTGGAAAAAGTAAAGGAGCAATGGAAAATTATAGAATTTTAAATAAACGATTGTTTAAAATTCTTCACTGGTCTTTTATTTGAGAATATAACAGTCGATAATTACGAATCAATGTCTGATAAGATCTTCACGTAACACGTATTATTATAAACAACAATAGTAAACGAATAATAAATACTGATGTAAAGGTAATAATGTAATAGTTGACTCACCCGCAGAAACCACGGTCAAAAACAAAATGCAAACAGATAAAAACAGGATGATCTTCATGGTTGCGGCAAAGTGTCGGTGCAACGTCACAAGTGTAGGGAAGAAAAGACTTCTGCCTCTACACTTACGACATTTGCTATTTATGCAAATTATAGCCAATAGAAATCTTTGTCACAGCCCACGTCGTGGCTAGACATTACGTAATACCGAAATTATTATTTTTTTCTACTCGTTGCGTAAGTATTTCCACTTTGCAATTAAAATGTCGTTCCGATTAATTAATGTATCGAGTATTTTACATACCCGAAAACAGTGATGTAATTTGATAAGTTTAAAAGTTAAAAAGACGTTTTCGTATTAAAATATGATTTATACGAGTATAAAATTTTGTTTATTTGATCGAAGAAAATATCTTTGGGTAGGCCTACTCGAAACTGGCGGACATTGGCACGTATGTCAAAGAATCCCGTAGCAGTTCGTCCGAATATTTATCGACCCGTACGTAAACAGAAAATAATACAGAACTGTGTTAGATAGTCTACTTGAAAATTCGCATTGTTGGGTAATTTATTAAACAAAAGTTCCGTAGGATTCTATTGTGATTTCGGTCGAGATATCGTTCGGCGGCAATTTGACATTCGACTTTCATTTAATATTAAGAGTAATACCATTCGCATTAAGTCAATACTTTACACAATAACGCGTTGTCTCGCATTATCTTACAGTTAAAACTCAAAAACTAATATATTTTCATCGATATTTTCAATACATAGAATGACAAAAACTTAATAAAATGACGTGTAAAAATTTGTTTTTTTTTTCACGTCATTTCGTGATATACAAATTTTTACACGTCACTTAGTATCCTGTTTATTTACTGACGACTTTTGTGTTTGTTCGTAAATTTGACTTCGTACGATGAAGAGACAATTTATCGCTAAGAGAGCGAGTATGAACCCCCTACAGCGTGCTTTTAGTTAATTTAAAATTTTAATTTGCTATAGGGTCTAATATGTATTTCGCTCCAGGCTCCCGCTACCCTTAGGCTGCCCCGTGAAGATACAAAATATTTTTAAAAATCCAAATGTAATTCATGTGTATATTAGAAAAGGACATCCACCTTCCTGCGCAAAAATCGGAAAAGGATATCTGTAAAAGTAATAAACGGAAATTACTCAAGTATTTCTGCCATTTATTATTATTTTTCAATTTTAAATCATTTAATATTTAAAATAATGCGTTGAATGAAAAAAATACTAAAACCTTTCTAATTAATAAAATTTTATTTTAATTATCCCCGAATGTTCGATCTCGTTCGATAGGCCCGGCCCAGTTGGTCGCGGGTTCGTGCCGGGCCAACGGGCTGGCCACGCGGAGCTTTCCGGGTTTTCTTCACGTTTGTAACACTTAAATAAGGGCCAGTTAAGGGCAGATCGTCCACTCGTCGCATTGCCTAAACAAATAAACCAATCTTAAAGTGTTCCTTATTTGTTTTCTCTAATTTATATTAATTCAGCACTAACTTATAGAACACATTTTTAATTTATAAGAAGGTTAACTAGTTTTCCTCTCAGAAATTATAATTTAAAATGAGAATTAGTTTCTCCACGTTCGGGAAGACCATCGGGCTTTGGCGAAGACCGTTTTAAAGCTTTAATCCACCACGATCCGCGTCGGTCAGCCCGAGAATTGGCAAATGTGATTAACTGTGACCATTCAACCATCGTGCAACATTTGCATTCAATGGGCAAGGTCAGAAACTGGGTATTTGGATACCGCACGCTTTAAGCCAAAACAATAGAAATCAGCGGGTGACCATTTGTGCTTCTTCGCTCGCTCGTTATCTGTTCGTTCGTAAATATCGATCATTCTTGTCCAGGATTGTTACCGGTGACGAGAAAAGGTGTCTCGATGTCAACGTCATATAAAGAAAGGAATGGCTGAGTCCTAACAAAAAGCAACTCTCCACGCGAAAAGCTAGTGTCCGTCCGCAGAAGATATTGTTACGCGACTGGCGGGACACAAAAGCGTCATCTACTACAAATTGCTTCCCGGGAATATACTCATCACCGCTTACATTTCTTGCCAACAACTCGGATGTCTGGCGGCCGAATTTCAAGAAAAAATGACCGGCACGACTGTATCAACGCGCGAAGTGCTTCTGTAGCACGATAATGCGTGGCGAAAACGGTTGGCCAGGAGCTTAGTTGGGAGGTTATTCGACATCTCTTTATTCCCCGATCCCGTGTCCTCAGATTTTTACCTTTTTCGTTCTTTATATAAAATTTTCTAGAAAATTCTTTTGATAACGAAAACGCTTATCAAACAGCAGATTTTTTCAGGCGTAGAATCGAAAATCTGCCCAGCATTGGCAGACAGTCATAGATAATGCGAGAGAATTTATTAGTGACAAGCTGGTCCGTCGCGCATTGCTGCGATCTCAGAAGAAAGGAAATTCGAACAAACTCGTTATGATACAATTTACATTTTATCATTTTTATTGAAACTTATTATTATTAGGCTATTCATTTTCATTGGGAAAACATTTCAAAGTGTCCTTTCAATTCTATTTATTTATTGGAGTGCTCGTGGATACGCGATATTTTCTGTTTTTCCGTCTGGTGCGTACACGAATAAATCAGGTTTTCCGACGCGTTAGCTGGTCACATACAGTTGTCCACGCGAGAAACACGCATTCTCCAAATTTAACCCACACACTCGCGGCGATTGTCAGAAGCGTGATATTCCCCATTTATATATATATTTTTTTAATCCTTTACAATTTTAATTATTTAATTGCTCCTTCCTCTCTTCCTTGGCACGTTGTGAAATTTCTGATAGTCGGATAATAAACCGTTTTATTGTAATTTGTCTTTTTAAATTATTTTGAGTCGATAATAAAATTTGGAAAAGGGGGATTCCTAGATCGGTAAAATAGGCGAATTTCCTCCTACGACTTCGGTCGTTGTTCGGGATACAGTTAAGGTTTTAACGAAGTTCGAGCGAATACATAATTAGCATAAAAAGTTGAAATAAAGTGATTAAACAAAAATTATTACAAATATCGTAAATAACAGTTCACAAATGCATATATAGAGATATTTTTTGAAATAGGGGGAAATGGTCTTCACAATTTGAAATCGATCGAACACACTGTCTCGATACACTCGTATAAACGCGCGCCATCTATCGTGGGTTAAATATACTATGCCAGAAACCTTCGCGGGAGTGTATTAAAAAACTTTCCTAAGTTTTATGGCAATCGTACTATGCCACAAACCTGCGTGAGAGTATATTAAACAACTTCCCNGTACTATATTAAAAAGTAAAATTTATTAATAATTTTATTTATAAAATTATTAATAAATTTTACTTTATTTATTTATTTTTTATTTAAATTATTAATAAATTTTACTTTTTATTTATTTAATTATAAATTTATTTATAAATTTATTAATTTATAAATAAAATACAAAACCGGGAAATGGTAATTTATGGTTTAGCCTAGTGACGAGTAAATTCGACTTACGTCGCCTGTCCTGGAACCAATTACCGACGTAAGGCGAGGTACACCTGTAACTTATATTCTCACACTACTTATTTATTCGTCAGTTTCGGATACAAATGAGTACAGTAAATCTAATTATCAGAATCTTTACATTTCGAATTCCTTCACTATTTTGAATTGTAAATATTTTTATTTTCCCCGCTGTTGTAGAATATAACGTAAAAGTATTGTAATGGATGAAATTTTGATCCTCTCGGTGTTTCCGCATTTAACCATCCGAGAGCTCGGAAACTTAGAAGAAACCTTTACGAAACACCCGAGGACTGGATAGACCAAAAATCTCGAAATCTGGCAGCTTTATTTCTATATATTCATTTAAAGTCTAATGGTTAAAGGTGAATCTCGAGTGGAGCCACATTTAATAAAAGTTTTACTCGTTATTAGCGCTTACAATTACCCCCAAAATAAGCATTTCGCTTTTTATAATAACTAATAAAAGATATTTTTAAATAAAGAGACGGGACTTTAATTTTGTAGATATTTTTCTCTTAATGCAGTCCGATTACTCTGTCCTTTGTTTTAAATGAGTGGAATTGCCATTACACAGCCGTCTTACTAGTATTTTTACAACAGCAGTCTATGTTACGGCCAAACCTTCTATTGGTCGGTTTTATATCGGATAATTTATAAATTTAAATAAAATAATCTAGTTGTTCATTTAATAACTACCGTATTAGCCCGAATATAACGCGACCCCGAATTTAACACGACTCCAAAATTTTCATAAAGATATTTAGAAAAAAATAATACTCATAAAAGAATTCAAAGAAAGTAAAATTCAATCAGATAAGCATTTATTTATGTAATTACAGTAGAGCGTCGTTTATCCGAATCAATTGGGGACTGGGGTGGTTCGGATAACT